AACCCTGAACCCAGAACCCTGAACCCTAAACCCTAAACCCTAAACTAAACCCTAAGCCCTAAACCCTAAAGCCTAAAGTGACTGAGACCTACTGGGTCGTAGGAGAGGACCCAGAAGGCGCGTGGATGCCGACGGAGAAGCGGCCGCCGCCCCGCAAGGAGAGCCACCTGGGCCCAGGCAACTGCCATGCCTACGGAGGGCAGGATGGGTAGACTAGGGTTTAGGGTTTTAGGGTTNNGGGTTTAGGGTTTAGGGTCATGTTGAGTGGAATCAGAATCAAAGCAATCTGCAAGCCCCTCGAGGCCAAGGCCTTGCGCCGTGCCGGCGTACCACCCCGGAGCAGGTGCTGTGCGCGAGCACTGCGCCTACATGTTCGACAGGATGACGGGCAGCCAGGCTCGAGTGCCCATTACCTACTTTGGGCACGCTCAGGTGGGCAACGCAAGAACGCAAGGCAGCGTGCAGCAACTCCTCGACGTCTCCATCCAAAGAATGAAATCGAGAACATCGCTGGTTAAGGAATGTTGATGATGCTAGTCAGCTTATTTCGCAGGAGGTTCATTTTGTAGAATAAGCAGTACTGCTCATATATACAGTCTAACACGCACACACACACACACACGCACACAAACTACTTGACTTTCTACAGTAGCCTCGGGCCTCCATGGCACTTGCTATTATCTGTGAACTCTTCGGATTCTCAAGCCTTAAGCCCGAAGCTGTAGCCCTAAGCGCGAAAGCCCTGAAGCCCAAAGCAAGAAAGTGTACCAACTAAGCACTTTGAAGACGCCTTACCCAAATAAATCCCTCCTGTTCCTTGCACACTCTCGAGACCTAAAACCTTTGAGTCCCAGAGACCTGACCCTAAACCCTAACCCCTAGCATCAACATAGCCGAAAAGCCTTATATATAATGGGGTCTCTGGGCCCGAAGGCCTTAAAATATGAGTCCTTTGAGGGTAAGGGTAAGAAAGTGGCTCCAAAGCCCTTTCAACTTGGTTTTAGGGTTCAGGGTTTACCACCTTTTTAGGGCTCCTAGTAGCCCGTACTTATGCCTTAAATCTTATTAGGGTTCCTATTACTATAAACCCTAAACCCTAGACCCTAAACCCTAAACCCTAAACCCTAAACCCCTAAACCCTAAACTCTAAACCCTAAACCCTAAACCCTAAAAAGTCTCTGGGCTCGTTTAACAACCTGGCGCTTTGCTTCCAGGGAAGAAACGCTGGAATCTCTGGACCCCGGCTTTCTCTAGGGTTTAGGGTTTAGGGTTCAGGGTTTAGGGTTTAGGGTTTAGGATATAAATCCTGCCTTACCCAGAATAAGGCATATACCACAATTCTTATAGTTAAGGGTCCTTAAGGTAATGCAGGGTTTTGATCATCAACAGTATCAACCTATATCAAAAGCACCCATGCAGAGCACTAACAATTTGACAACCGTATACAGCCTGTATAAAAAATCTTGCAAAGCCCGCATAAGACCTTCAACTCAACAGCCTCAAATCACACCAGTAACACCCTAAACCCTAGACCTTTAAACCCGAAGCCCGAAACCCTAGACCTTTAAACCCGAAGCCCTAAACCCTAGACCTTTAAAACCCTGAACCCTAAACCTTAGACCTTTAAAGCCCTAAACCCTAAACCCTAAACCCTAGACCTTTAAAGCCCTAAACCCGAAAGCCTAAACCCTAGACCTTTAAAGCCCTAAACCCTAAACCCTCAGCCCTCAATGCTGGACCTTTAAAACCCTATAGGCAAACAAACCCTTTCGATCCCAAGCCCAAGACCCTCAGACCTTGAAGCCCAGGAACCCTACGCAGGGGCTCCAATGTAGTTCCTTTTTGGGTCTGTTATGGTTTTTTGGTAAGGAATTATAGTATACTATCCAAAAAGGAACTACATAGGAGCCCTTGGGTACACCCTATACCCACGGTAACACCCCCCACACACTAAATAAAACCACCCCCA